AGGTGTCTGGTGAAACTGTCACTACACGACATAGAAAATAGTGTCATTTGAAGGAGACAATTTGATTGTCCTCACCTGGCTGGAAGTCCAGTGCTCTGTGTTACCCCGGGAGTGGTTACTGGCCACTGATTTGGTCGTCATTGCCTCCTGATGGCTGGTCCCTGGAGACAGTGAACCCCACAGCCCACACTCACAGTGACTTGAACATGACTTGTATTCTGAGTGAAGCTTGAACATCATTGCTGCCATTTGTGTTTGTCTGATCATGGGTGAGATCAGTTTCACTGCCTTTGTGGCTTTCTGTGAATTGCTTATTTTTATCTTTTACTTGCTGGTTGGGCTATATTTTTCTTCTGGATTTGTAGGAATTAGTGCATATATATGTATATATGTATATGTATGTATTTTACACCCTAATCTTTCATCTGGCTTATGTCACCGATACCTTCTGTAGCTTTCTTTTTATCTTTCAAGTTTATGATGCATTATTAACATTTATGGAAGCACATGTATCAATCTCTTCCTTTATGGCTTATGTTTGTTGGGATTTAAGGAAAGCCCTGTGCACTGTTCTTGCCATAAGCATCTTCATGGTATAATCTGTCGTCTTTATTTTATAAGGCTTGGAGGTTCAGGCAGAATTAGCTAACCTGAAGCAACTGTTTTAGAGTGGAAGCCAAGCCTATACTGGAGACATGGGCTGTGCGTTGCTCAGAGAGGGTGTTTCAAGGAATGCGGAAATGGGCAGTTAGGGAGATGGCGGCCAAGGATAAGCAGCTGAGGAGCTGCAGAACTCTGAGAAATGGTGAACAACAGGGTGTGTGGAAAACCTAAAGGGAATGGCTGAGCGCTGGGGGAGAACCAAGTGGCGATGGCTGAGGGGCCTACAGAGGGCCTAGAAGCCATGGGCGTCAGTGACATCTGTCCCTGTCGTTCCTATGGGTCTATTTTCTCAAGGAAGAGAACAGCTTCATGGGACATGCCCCAGTTCTGACTCATTTTCACATTTCTGGAACCAAGTGGATTTCCTGTCCACAGGACATCAAGGTCTGATGGAAGAAATTCTGCAATCTTCCCTTTGTAGTCAGCTTCATACCCCACCCTGGAGGAGGACCTGCCCCTGCCTCATTCCCTCCATCCTGGTCCTCCATGGGTCAAGGGAAGGTGCAACTTGAGCAGAGATGCGGGGCTTCCCCTGGGAAACCCTGCTGGGGGGAGAGGCATTGGAAGTGTGCGCACAGCCCTGTGCTGCCCTGTCATTCCCTGTGGCAGGCGATACTTTGTGGGTTTAGAAAGCACCTTTCTTGAACTGTCAATCTGTAAATTGTCTGTAAAATCTCACCCAAGGGGTAAAGGAATGGAATTATTCATAAGACAGTTTGTACCTCTGTTCATGGTGAAATTACTCACTCAGGGTATAATTAGATATGCTGGCCCGACTGTGGACAAAGTTGGGAAGGAGAGTCTCTGTTCTCATTTGGGTGCTTACTGATGTGTTTGACAGGCATCTGGCGTGTTGATTCACGAATGGGGGAGAAGGCAAGGCCTTTGTAAAGGGGAGAGGTGTCTCTACCCCAAGGAGAATTAAACAAGCAGAGTCGGAAAAGTTTAGCGCAGTGCAGTGGCACATCTCCTTTAATCCCAGCTACTCAGGAGGTGGAGATGGCCAACTGAGCAGTTAGAAGGCTCTAAAAAAAAAATAATTAAAAGCAAAAGGGTTGGGCCATGGCTCAGGTGATAAAAAGCTTGCCTAACAATTCTTAAGGCCTGGAATTCAAACTCTAGTACCATTTTAGAAAAAGTTCAAAGTTCTAAAAGAGGCTTCTGGTAGGAGTGGCTGTGATCAGGTACTCTGTGTGTGTGTGTGTGTGCGTGTGTGTGCGCGTGTGTGTGTCTGTGTGTGTGTGTGTGCATGTGTGTATGCACGTGTGCGTGTGCTTGCACGTGCGTGTGTGTGTGTGTGTGCGCGTGTGCATGTGCGTGTGCGTGTATGTATGCATGCGTGCATGCATGCATGTGCTTATGCGCACCAGGTGAGAGGGCAGAAGCCAGGCCATTCCCCTCACGTGGACGCAAGGCCTTGGTTGCTGTCCCATCCACAGGGTGGGTGAGTTCACATTGGAGCTAAGGAAATAAACATTGCAGTGTTGCAGACAAAGTAAAATTTATTGAGACAGACAGAAATGCACCTACTCAGGACTACAGGTAAGCATCACTATCAACCAAAGAGCTGTTTTCACATTCCAGGTAAGTCTACATGGAAAAGCATTCAGAATACTAGTTTGTCTACGTCACTATTTCGTCTACACGTAGGGACAACAAAGCGACACTGGAGTTGATGGCTCTCCTCACAAGGCTGCACATGGAACAGGGACAAACATCAGTGGCTTTGAGAAAAAGGTATAAAAAGACCAAAAACCACCCACTGTAGAAAGGGCTCCTGGACGGCATTGTACAGTGCAGACTGGGAACGGCCAACCAAAGCCAAATGAAGATGGCATCCTGGTAGAGCAGAGGGGCTGACCAGATGGGCGCCATTTCTGGCTGCCTTGTGTGAGGGGACGGGCACTCAGAGGGGTGAGCTGCAGGGGCAGCACGCCCCTGCTTCGCATAACACAAGGATGTCACCAAGGCAGACAACCAGCCAGGGACCACCCTCCGATTTGACTTGAATCCTGTAGTAATGATATTAGATACTAAGTGTTTATTGAATGAGAATAAAATATTCACTGAAGATTTTCCACAAATGAGTTAGTGAAGATCCAACCTTTTTGCAATATATCTCCCCCTCTCAACCAGTACGTATCTTACATGCGCTTGCTCATTGTGAAGAAAGGGCCTTCGGCAAAGAGGAACCCAGCCCTTCTCCCAAGGATAAAGTCATTCAAAATCTCATCTAAAGTCCCTCTGTTAAAGGACTCAAGATTGTGAAAAACCTAATGTGCCCTAATGCAGTCAGACACAGAATGTGTTGGCTTTGCTCTGCTGATTCTAGTTCAGCCTTTGGAGGGCTCTGTATTTAATAGTTTAACGAATCAAAACACCTTGTTGGAATGTCTGCAAGTGGTACCTCCTCACCTTCCTGGGAGGTGCTGAGTGCCCTTCTCCATCATTAAGTTGGGGGAAGTGCCGACTGAGTATTCCTCTTCGTCATTAAGTTAATACCTAGGATCTTCAAGTGTCATCTTAATTTGACACTTGTCATAAGATAATTAGGCAAATTAAAAATCAGTGGTTCACTCTGTTCCTGGAAGTTTCTCGAAGCAAAATCAATTTGTCAATTTTAATGTGTTCTCGTGTGCATTTCCCCCCAGCGTGGAGGGGCTACCATGGCTTTCAGTGGTCTAGACTGAGTCTTTAAAAATGCCTCTTTATTTCTTATGTGCTCTATTATAATTAGGCTGCAATTAAGCACCTGTTTTCTAAATTACGCTCTCGGAGTTTTGCTTGCTCGAGGGGGAAGGAGGCTGTGGAACGAGGGTCAGCAGAGCTGAGCGTCGCTCGCGGTGGCTGCGTGGAGATGGAGTGGAGCGCTTGTTGGTGACGCCCGGTCTTGCCGAGGCCGGTGTTCATCCGACACCCCGCTTCCTCGGCTGCCACGCCGACCATGGCTTTCTGCCTGCCTGGGGGTGGGCAGTGCGGCCTGCTGTGTCTTCCTGGGGCTCTTTGGGGGTGGTGGGGTGCCCTTTGTGCGGGAGCCCGGGGCCCCGCTGGGGTCGGGGCTGGGCTCCCGCACGCAGTCGGGTGGCTTGCGGGACCCGCCGGGGGGTGTGCCGCCGCCATGCTCTCGGGGCCACCGCCGGGGTGATTTCAGGAGAAAGACGAGACGACGGCGGGAGACCCCGGCGTGTTGTGCGGGGTCCCGCGGGCGGGTTAAGGCGGCGGAGGAAGCCGAGGAGGGCGAGTGGACGTCGGCTGGAACCATCGCACCGGGCGGCGTGCGGGGGAG